AGCCTTTAGCACCCACAGTTAAACCTACCCACCTACCTCTGCAGTTAAAGATTGTTTTTGGACGCGACACTCAAAATGCATCCTGAATTATTGTGAAAGCGAGTGAAAGAGAGGTGAAGCTGAAACTCCTTTTAATTTTTGAAGTTAATGCTTTTGCAACTGAAGTTTGCAAAGTTTACCCCACACAGACAACATCATGTGAAGGAGCGAACAGCTCAATTTTATTTTATTTAAAATGTACCCAATTGTATCATCTCAAGTACACGGATAATTGTTAAACAAATTGTCATGACTTTTCTAAAACATTTTGGGTTTATTTGTTTTTCCAAAACTTTTCCAGGTCTGGAAAATGTCTTTTCGAAATTTCATGTCTTTTCCAGGTTTTTCAGTACAGTATGAACCCGGGAAGAACAGGAGAGGAGGCCTCAGAGAAGACCCAGGACACGCTGGAGGGACTATGCCTCTAGGCTGGCCTAGGAATGCCTCGGGATCCCCCTGGAGGAGCAGAAGGAAGTGTCTGGGTAGAGGGAAGTCAGGGGTTCTCTCCTAAGACTGCTGCCCCCACAACCCCGGCCCCAGAAAAGCGATTGAAAATGAATAAATGAATGAATGAATGAATGAATGAATGAATTTCCTACCTGTCTGTAAAAATATGTAATATTTTGTGCAGAAATTATTATTTTATCTGCATGTCCGAGGATGCGGTTTAGCTATATTAAATCCTAACTGTGCTATAAAGTTTTTTTCTCTGGCGAATGTTATGTGATTGTATGGTAGTGGTATTATCTAGTGCATGTGTTAATGTTTATGTGTTCAGGAGGCATGGTTTTGGATGAGGATTTGCAGGGTGGGACGTAGGCTTTCATTTTCTAAGATCTCCTATTGCCCCTTTATAGGAACAATAGGCTCATTTTACAACTCCTCTGGAGTTAAAGGTGCTGTGAGTAGGTATTTGACTTTTCTAAAGCATAAAAATACCATAATATGTTTGCAGATATTTAAGAAACCTGCCAAGTAATTATTCTTGTTTATCTGAAAAACAATGCTGAAGTCAGATATTCTGCTTTAAAAATGTGTTTTCCGTGCCAGAACGCTGTCTTTGTTTTGGCTGTTTTAACCTGCCCAATGTCAGTTTAGCCAATTACATTTCAGCAACCCAGGTTGCTGAAATGAAACACAGATTCAGTTCCACATGAGGGGATTAATTAGCAAATTATTTAAATATTAGTATTACATACGTAAACATTAGGTGAGCAGCTTACATTATAATCGCCCATTTTGCACCAGACGGAATACGACAGAAATTAAAATGCAGCCATTCAGAAGCACACAATATGCACTTACTCACAAAATGGTAAGCTTTATAATCTATCTAATAAATATCAACCCTCTTTAACATTATTAAATGTACATGCTGAATCACTCATATGTGTTTAGTTCTAAAGTTCAATTTTAAACAGTTTATTATCAAGATCTGAGGTGATCTGCTTTGAGTATATGGCAATAAATGTCATGTAAAATGGCATTCAAACTCACATTGTTAGCATTTAGCACTGAATAAAGCACATTCGGTGTATCTGAGGTGATCATTGTCATATTTTTTGTTGTTCAGCTGCAAGAAATAGAAGCCGTTTCTAATATATCAATTTGAGGTGTTTGTTAGGAAAAAAACTCTTTTTAATATAGAAAATATTTCTTCTGTCGGGTGCCGTTGCTTTTATTAAGAACACGACTTAAATCACTCGCTCCTGTCCTCAGACTGACAACTTGCGCTTGCGTTTAAACAACTTGCACTGCACCTTTAAACATTTGAGTTTTAGCATTTTTTATTTATTCAGTTAATCTCAATGTCTACACTTTTTGCTTAGCTTAGCATAAACCATTGAATCAGATTAGATCATTAGCATCTTGCTCAAAAAAAAAAAAAAAAAAAAAAAAAAAACGGAGCACCTGGAGGAAACCCACGCCAACACGGGGACAACATGCAAACTCCACACAAAAACGTCAACTGACTCAGCAGAGGCTCAAACCAGCAATCTTCTTGCTATGAGGCGACAGTGCTACCCACTGCGCTACAGCGTCGCCCCACTTTTCATTTCAGGTGTTGCATATAATCATAGTGTCTGTTGCAGCCATGGTACGGCAGCAAAGTTCCTTATTATTATGCCAGAATGAGAGTATAGTTCCTAGACATATCGGCCTTAAAAATAGTAGCTTTCATTTTCCATCAGTCTTAGCACACGATGCAACTGCGAAAATCCTTTATAATAAATAAAATGATTTCATGGTGAATTTTTGGGACACTTATAGAGGTGAATAAAGTGTCATTAAATTTCCAGATGAATTAAACCTTGCTGTTGCACCTGAACGGTTGTTCCAATTCTACAAAGACAGAGTCTAAATCACTGAGATTAAAGTCCGGATCCACGTCTTGTTTGATTAGTGTGTTTGAGCTGACCTTAAAGGGTCAGCCAGATAACTATGACAGAACAGCAGCACGGAAGATACTTTCATCTGTTTGAAAAACTCAAAGTAATGGGGAAAAGAACAAAGCAATAAGTAACAGGTCAGAGAAACTATGCCAGAAAACTCGAAATTATAAATTAATTTATAACTTCCTGTCATAAAACCTATTATCAACTTGTAAAATGTCAGAAGTTATGCAAGTGAGATGACTTTGTCTTCTTCTCTAGACGCCCCGAGGTGAGGACTTTTATAGTAAAGCTCTGGGATTACCGGCTTTGAACAGGGCAGCTTGTACCCATAACACACAGGGATACAGCTGAGGTTCTGATGTTAAAAATCCACCTTTTGAAGTGTGCAAATCCTAGCGCATAAGACAAAGGGTTATCAACAAACCTGACATCAGCTTCACCTCATATTCAAACATCTTAGTTAGTAGTGAAGTCTAACCTTTTCACTTCACTTGCTTTTTGTGACTTGCGATCATCTCAGAATGACATTTGATCTGATTTTCCAAGCAAAAGTTTTTCAGTACAGTGAAGAATCAATAGAGTTGATTTAATTGATAGTAAACAAGCACCGATCAATCAAATTATAGCATTATAGTAATACAGTGTGAATTTTTGTTATGAATATATTTCATTTAATAATAGGATAATAAAGGAAATATTAAACACTATTAGTCGCATTAATAAATTTTATTTTCTCTAATGATATTCAGACAAATCTGGTTCTGAATGCTACTTAATTGAACTGTTGTAAATTAAAAATGTTAGTCCTAAAAAGATTTGTTTAATGGTTCTAATAGACTGATATTTTATGTCAGTGTTGTGTTCTTTTAAGTGACGAAGGTTATTCCACACATTGCTGTTTTAAAAGAACAGAGCAAACTGAATTTAAACCGACGGGGAATAAAAGATTATGGCCCTGAGGCCAATGAATAAATGCACAATTGATTAATAAAAAGTACATTTCTTCATACATTCATGTATCCAATATAAAGTAGTAGGCTATATGGTTTAGAAGTAAAGACTTTCTCTCTGTTTCTCTCAGTGTTTCCTTTATATAAAAAGAAAGCAATGGTTCTTAAGGTCAAAAAAGTAATAAAGAACTAAATGCATGTGCAATTGTATAAATATATTTGCATCAAAACAACACAAAAACTGCTACAAATAATAAATCAACAAATTTCCTGAAATAATAATTTGACTTCTAATTGATCATTTGGTATCAGAAGTGGCTTAAAATATATATAAAAAATATAAAATATGATCCTGCCTTGATTTTTAATAATTTAATTAGGACAGTAAGTTATGACTTTGCTTAGACAAAAGCCTTGTCACTTAACAGAAATCATGTACAATACAGAATATAAAGTCATGGTGCAGTGGAAAAAGAATGAATATTGTGTATGACTCCCATGAGCTTGGAGGACTGCACCCATACATCTCTGCAATGACTCAAATAAGTTATTGATAAAGTCATTTGGAATGGCAAAGAAAGCATTCTTGCAGGATTCCCAGAGTTCATCAAGATTCTTTGGATTCATCTTTAATGTCTCCTCCTCCATCTTACCCCAGACCTACTCGATAATGTTCATGTCTGGTGACTGGGTTGACCAATCCTAGAGCACCTTGACCTTCTTTGCTTTCAGGAACTTTGATGTGGAGACTAAAGTATGAGAAGGAGCGCTATTCTGCTGAAGAATTTGCCCTCTTCTGTGGTTTGTAATGTAATGTGCAGCACAAATGTCTCGATACCTAAGGCTGTTGATGTTGCCATCTACTCTCCGGATCTCTTTCACGCCCCCATACTGAATGTAACCCCAAACCATGATTTTTCCTTCACTAAACTTGACTGATTTCTCTGAGAGTATTGGGTCCATGCAGGTTCCAATAGGTGTTCTGCAGTATGTGTGATGATTGGATGCAGTTAAACATGACTTATCTAAGAAATCTACCTTCTGCCAATTTTCCAAATGATCAACTAGAAGTCAAGTTATTATTTGTTGCTCTTACAACTGAGAATATATATAATTTTGAATTTCTGGAAAAGACCACTTAAAATTGCACAATCTTCGAGAAAGTTATATCGCAATTACATTTTTGAAGATGTAGTATACAACAATGAAAGATTCACTTTTTATTTCTGACTTTGATTGGTTTTATGACATGAGTACTGCCCTTTTTTGAGCATTCAGTGATTCACTTACAGAGGAAATGAAGGTGTTCTTTTCAGTTCCAACACCTAAATCTCCCTTGACAAAACTGCAAGACTCCTCTCTATGAAAACAGCTATGTCAACAGAAAACAATAAGATCCTATTTGGCCAGCTGTTGGGAAAATACAAGGTCATCTGTGGCCCGGCTTTAACCCAGAGTAAAAAACAACACATCCAACAAAAACCCCATTCTAAGCCTTCTGCATATTTGTCTGGGAAACAGACTCTGTTCAGTTGGACTGCAATGGGTAAATGATGATAAACTGAAGGACAAAACAACAGGACTGAATAAAGAAGAATAACATCAGGAAACCTACGATTTCTCCTAGTGAAGCAGCCAGCATGTGAGTGATGGGGGCCAGGTTTGTTGTGGTGTAGCCAGAGAAAACGGACTTGGTGCTTTCATAGGTGACAAAGAATGCGGCAGCTGAAAGAAAATAAACACTTCATTTCAAGCAAGCCATTTAAATGAAGATGTTTGCATGTATTTCATTTGAAAGTGTATCCTCAGACCTGAGGATCTCAGTGAGTCTGGTTTAAATATGTTGCTTATCATAATCAGACATTTTAATTACACTATTTAATTACTATTCTAAAAAGTACAAAATAAGACTATAAAATAAACTTTAACACAAAAACTGAGTACAATGGGGTGGCATTATTCTTTTCAAAGTTTGTCCATCTTTTAACTTTTAATAAACGAGAATTAACTAATTACTTCTTTATAGCCCCAGAACATTTCTGAATTTTACAGACGTTTTGAATATTAGTGCACAGAAAGGAATAGAGTTTTTATACAGAAAATAAAGTTTAAGAAATGAGCAAACTCAAAAGAGTTCTGAACACAGACAGGCTTGTGATAGTCACATTAAAAAATACCAAACGTAATGTTATTTTTTTATTTATAAAATAAAGCACAAAGGCAACTATATCTCTATTTGGATTGCCCTATGCATATAGTTTACTTGAAGTACAGACAAGTCATTTGCAACACGCGCATCCGCAATAGTCACATCACAAGAGAGAGGGTGCTCGCTGCAGAGCCATTTGAGGAGAGGTGAGCTCCAGAGAGGGGGAGCATGAGCTGTCGCTCCTCCTCCTGTAAGCTGTTTTAATGCGTACACCAACCCCACCCCTAACCCTACCCCCAGTGACATCACTCGTAGAAGAAGTGCAAAAAAGGTGGAGCTCAAGCTTAAGCTCCCCCTCTCTGGAGCTCACCTCTCCTCAAATGGCTCTGCAGCGAGCACCACTTGTCACAAGATGCAATGCAATGCTAAGTCTGAATCACAGTTGACCAAAAGCTACAGAACATGTGGTTTGTAGAGTCACTGCTAGGTTTAACCATAACAGAGGTTAAGTTTATCATCTGCACGTGTTTTTGAGGCCTGCAAAAAGAGCATTTTTAAGAAAGTTTAAAACCTTTGGGCACAAATAAAAATGATGATGTTGAGAGGTGTAACAAATATGACTTGTATTTAATTATTTATACACAATTTAAATGATTTATGGAAAAACTATACATATTTTCATACTTTTGTCTTGTTTCTAGTCCAAATATCTACATTTCAAACAATAGTATTTTGCTAACCCCATTGGCAAATAATTTAGCTTGCTTTAAGGAACAACTCAAAAATGTTGACTTATTTATTCTAAAGGTGAAAACAAAATATTTTAGTACATGTAAGAATTTTAGATATTTTGACTAGAAACAAGGCAAAGCAAAGTAATTGCAATTTCTGTACCTTATTACTGTTAGAAAACTGTCAAATAGAGCCGTTCATACCATCTTGTGAAACTGAGTTCAATCAAAATGTTTATAGCAGAAAAATAAAATAACACAATATCAGACTTTTTCAATATCATAATGCCTGCTGACGAGCCTTAAAATAGATGAGCAAGAGCAGCAGGGAGCAAACACTGCTGTTAGATAATAACAGGAAAATTAGGCTACAATCAACACTAGTGGGTCTCCGCTAAAGGGGCTATCTGTAACATTCATATGAATTGTGTAAGTTCACACAGATCGCCCCCCTGTGGCAAATCCCTAAACATGTTTTAAGGATTTTACCTGATCTTGGATCAGTTTTACTAATTTCAGGGTTTCTGCAGGTTTCATAGTCAAATTTAAGACTTTTAGAGATTGTTTAAAGACCATTATTAATAAAATTTTAGATGTATATGGAGCTAAACACTATCAGGATTTCTTTTTTCCAATGGAAATGGAAAGATTTTTACTATCCTCAAAATGTCAAATTTAGTTATTAATAATGTGTCAAACCAAGCAAACACTGGTTTAATGATGCACTTTTTTAACAAAATATTTTTTTAAATTTTTAAAAGCTAAATATATGGACAACTGTCTGTCCAAGTTAATGTTCTAACTCTAAATAAATAGAAAACGTATAAACCAATGTTTTTATAAGAAAAATATTGAAACTATATTGGTAAAAGAGTTAAATTGTAATATTTGTTAAAGGTTCTATTGAGATGGGTTGCTGGTGATTGGATGGGTTTGGCCTGAATGAGTAGCTTTTCATAGACATAAGAAAATTAAGACCCGTTTTAAATGATTTAAGACCTACGACACAATATTTTGGTCAATTTAAACACTTTTTAAGGCCTAAAATTTAGTTTTAGCAATTTAAGACATTTTAAGACTATTAAGACCCTGCGAATACCCTGAACTTTTACATGTTTTAATCACTTATTTGTAAAACGAAAAGAAATAATATCATTATGTGTCATTAGCTTCTTGTTGTAACAGAAAACAACTGATAAGCATGACAAAAACAATATATATGTGGTGAAAATGTATATAAAAGGTTATGCTTTTAATTTAAAGTTTGCAATATGTAAGAAAAAGACAATTATAATGTATCTTTTGCCTGAGCTTGTGTTGCATTTGCATGACTTTGACTACCAGGCGTCTCTAGCATGTGGTGTTTCAAACTCTTTGAACAAATGAATCATTATGCTAAATCATTCGTTAAATTTGAAATGTTGTTTCTAGTATAACTAGCTCACAGATGTCAATATCATGTCAGTAAGTACATAAATCTTCCAAGAATGTTTCCAGCACTTTGCTGATCGTCTCCTAGACACTATTATAGGAATTCAGAAGGCAAAAAAATCATCCAACCCAGGACTAGCAAGGAGTATCTAATAAAGTGGCCATTGACTGTATATACTGTAAACTCACCATTAGGAAAGGAGCCTATGGCAGCAGATGGGACTCCTGCATAGATCCCTCGGAAACCTCCCGCCTTGTAGAAGCCCTGCTGGCTCTGCAGCCTTGTCTTAATGGTGTCCAGTGGGAAGAGAGTGAGATCTACACACATTCCTGCGCACCCGCCTGCCTAAGAGATAAAGAGCTGGGATAAGGTTTTGATGCACAATTATTCAGTGTTATTCGATAAAAAACTTTTAAAAATACTGGTGGTATATATATATATATATACATACTGTACACACAAACACACACATATATAAATATATATATATATATATATATATATATATATATATATATATATATATATATATATATATATATATATAAATTCATTTTCTTTTCGCTTTTATTAATCTAGGGTCGCCACAGCGGAATGAACCATCAACTTAGACAGCATAATGAACGTTTTACACAGTGAATGCCCTTTCAGCTGCAACCCATCACTGGGAAACATCCATACACATTTATTCACACATATACACTACAGCCAATTTAGAAACCCATGCAAACACGTAAAGAACATGCAAACTCCACACAGAAATGCCATCTAATCCAGCCGAGGCTCGAACCAGCGACCTTCTTGCTGTGAGGCTTTCGTGCTACACACTGCGCTACCGTAACACCCCATATGTGTGCATGTGTTTGTGTGCAAACACTAGAATTAATTTATTATTATTATAAAAATGCAAGCAAAGTTGACTATTAATGCTATTATTTGTTATTATTAGTTTGTTACAACTATTACTACTACTTCTATTTTATAATAAGATCACTGCTATTATTAGTAGTACTATGTATCAGTAGTAGCTGTCTCAAATCTAGAAACAAAGACAAGATAACAAGAAAAAAATAGTAACTACCTTGACTTAGAAGACTAGAAGACAAGACACACATTATTATTATTATTATTATCACTATTATTATTATTATTATTATTATTATTATTATTATTAATATTAACAAGAGATGTTTATTTATTGCTTTAAAAATATCATATGTATTTGTAAAAAAAACAAATGTATTCCTTTAGCTTCATTACTGTTGTCATCATCATAGCCATCATCAAAATCACTTTCAGATTATTTAAACAAGTAAACCTCTGTTTGCATTACACAAAAGCTAAAAATGTCACTGTCACTCAATAACATTGTTCTGCTTTCATGTCACATGCAGAGTTCATGATGAAGGATTCTTGAGCGCGTGTAATAGACAGCGAGCATTACCACAGAAAATGAGCATTACCACAAGGGAGGCTGTGAACTCTCGTCTGTCCATACTGTACTCGAGGACTTCAGCATTTGCCAGGTGACTTTGTTAGGCGGTTCATCTTTGACACTTCGTACAACAACTACACGTTCAGCAAGGGCGCTGCCATGTTTAGGGCGGGCATTCGCACAGACGTCACATGACAACGACGACAACAGCAGGGCTCTTCATTTTCGGCAGAAGGGCTCGAATTAAAAAACCTGATTCAATGTGGAAGATACTTCCCGAATTTATTTTTAATAAAATTGGAGGTATTGCTTTTCTGTTACAATGCCCCTTCTCACTTGGTAAATTACTCATAACATTAACAATATATCATAAACAGGTCTTATTGTCATGGTTAATAATGTACAAACACATATTTTCTCCTCACCACTGCTTTATTTTAAACAACCAAACTATTGTAACAAATCTTTGCTTTTCGATAAATGCTTTTTAAATATTGTTTTTATTAGTCAATTATTAGATGACAATGGTAAGATATATTTATTTTCAATTCATTATATAAAATTTTGAACCCTCAGTAAAAAAAACAATAATACAACACAGTATAATTAATGATATTCCCAATGATTTAAAAACTTTATTGAAAGAAGTACAAACCTTAAATTTGGATCCTATAAATCAAACAACCAAATCAAATTCAATAACTGTATGATGCAAAAAAAAAATATAACCATAAACAATTTCAGCTTCTTTTAAAAGGCTGGCCATCTATAACATAAATTAGGATATTACTTGCAATTGTTCATATAAATATATGCTAACTAACAAAGTAAAAGCAATGTAACAAAGTAAAAAATAGTTAAAAAGAAACAATTTAATAAAAAAAATGATTTAATAAAAACATCTAGGCCAAAAAAATTATGTAATAATTAGAAATTTATGTCATTAAAAGCATGACTTTTTGTTTTAATTTGGATTATTTTATTATTTGTTATTATTGGGCTATCAAATTTTATAGTTTGTACTTTTTTAGTAAAAAAAGGTGTCTTAACAAAATATTTGATTTTAAAATGTACGATAAAAGGGTCTTTTCTTTTATTAAACATATAGTAATGTACATCAACTTACCATTATCAGCATACCTTTGCATTACAACAAAAGGAAACAGGTGCAAAAAAAAAAAAACAAATTACCTACATGATATGTTCCATAAAATAAAAATGTAAAGGCCATAGGAATGGCATTAATAGTAAAAGGGTCTTGAGAAAAGTCTCTTTTTTATTATGCAAAAAAGAGGGAATAATCACACTACATTATATAGAAAATTGAAACAAAAAACACATTAAAAAAAAAACAAAGAAAAAAAAACTAACAAAATGGGTATATACATCACACATTAAAGAAAGATATTATATAATTTACAAATTTCAGTTGTTTTCCAGCCTTTTTTGTGAAAGAGTTAGAAATAGTTTCAAAGTAATACTGCATTTCAGTAAGCAAAATATAAATAAAAAAGGTTTTTGGTTTAAATATTTACATTTATGTATATAATTTGTTGTTAATAAGATAATATGATTAAGAAAATATATTTTCTTTTTATGTAAAGCTTATTTTTTATAATTGACAAAACCAATCAAAACAGTTTCCCATAGTTAGGAAAAGACTTTATAAACCTTCTAACATCAACAATTGCAAAAATTGCAAATTAGTGTAACTGCATTGCCAAAATAAGTGTACTAGGAACTCTGGGCATTGCTTACAAAATGAATTATTAGAATCAATATATTTTTAAATCTCACTAAGAGAGTATTCACTGGGTAGAAGAGCCTCTTTTAGGGCGTATCTTCTGGGCGGGCATACGCAATGACGCCACGTGCGTGATGACATCGCTGGCTATCACAGGGTTGTTTTGGAGGAAGTTAAAGCAGATCCTGAAACAGAAAGAGAAAAAAAGAACCGTCAGTTAACAGGGGGCAACAACGGTTACAGCGCCCGTATCGGTATTCCCGAATCCGGATTAATTTACTCATACACTCGCCAAAAACGATCCAGTTTTCAACTGACGACAGAAGCTGAAGTTATTGTTTGTTTTTTTCCTCATAAACATCAGGCTCGTGTAAGGGCACGGTAGCAGTTTAGCTTACAGGCTACAGCACAGCACAAAAACAGACTGATATTCGCTAGATCTCCTGCTTTATAAACCAGGTGAGTTATAAAATCCGAATATATGCTTGTATATCTGAAATCGAGTGAATGATCGTGGATTTATGGAGAGAGAATGTGTGATTGGCATGTAACGTTAAGCTAACGAGTGACATTAGCAAACGAGATCATTTGTTGTGATGTTAAAGGGCATTAAGTCGCTTTTATTAATGTTTATTTTATATGTAAGGGTTTTTATGGTTAAAATCAGCCACTGATGTTGATTTGTGAGGCCCTGGATGATCAGGTGTTTCCAGTTACCCTGACAGGCCTGACAGTCGCGCTGGGTATTTTTTTTTTATTATTTTAATTTTTTGTTTGTTTGTTTTTCTACATATGCGTTTGCTCTAAAGCATCTTGTTTTATCGTACACCGTTATCTTGAGCTAATGTACACATCAAAACAATCATTGAGAGTCACTAATAAAGTAATAATCGATCAGAAAATGGATTTTACAGCGCTGCTTGGCTTTCATGTGGAATCATCTGATTGCACAACAAGCAGCCGCAATAAATACAGTTTCTGCTTGTATGTTTACTGCACACGGGAACAGGCGTGGGGTATTGCGAAACAAGCCGTTTTTAATAAACAATCATTATTAAAGGATAAAATCTCCTATATTCTATACCTCTTTATTGTTCAAAGGTAGCGTCGATGTATACTGTAAAACGCGTGTGTCAGTGGCTTTAGTACGCACTTGGTTATTTGTTGCATGATGTCGAAACGGCTGACTGACTTTCTCCTATTCTTTTTCGTACTGAGGGAAAGTGCTCTACCATGTGATCCGACTTTACCGAGTGTCATGGGTTCCAGATTAAATATGGAGTCGTAAAAGTGGTGGCAGTCATGAACTGTGTCTCAAAATCTTGCGAGCCTCCTAACTAGCCAGTAGGGCTGCACAATATATTGATTCAGCATCGATATCGCAATGTGATCATTCGCAGTAGTCAAATCACAGAATATGAAATGTTTAGTAAAACTGTTTTATTATATATTATAAGTTTTCATTTTCATGTGATTTTTGATGCATGTGACGGCTGGGCGATATGGCAAAAATGCTATCTCGATATATATATTTTTTTAATTTATAACGATGTATATTTCAATATAAGTTGTTAATGCTTTCAAATTTGAAAGAGGACCACGACAATGACTGAAGCCACAAATATAGAGGGTCCATTAAATGGCATAACATATTTTCAGATGATAAATTTTCTGTGGCTGAAAATTTGGTGCATCTCTAAAATCAACACTTTTTAGATTACTATTGTTTTCTGCTATGTATAAATGGCTCTCAGATCAATATGGAGTAAAAAAGTCCAGAGCTTATCATTCTTATTGACGTAAATTTTATCATGATTCAATATAATATTGTTTATCGGCTCAGCCCTGTGACTGAATAATGATTTTAAAAGCATTCACGTATAAAAAATTTTTACCGTTTTGTACTTTTAACAATGATTAATCTCAATTATTTTTATTTTTATCGACAATTACTGTTCCTGAATACTGTTAGACTCAGAAATCTATGTTTATTTTAATAGTTTTTTTATTGTGTTGGTCTATGCTTTTAGATGATGTATTATATTTTATTTAGATGCTCTTCTCTATAGAATCATCCTAACCAATCCCAGCTAATTCTTTTCAAATAGAGGTAATCCAGTCCTCTGGGGAAAGAGTATATTCATATCCAAATATTTATCGCAGAATCACAAAATATCAAAATGTTAGATTTTTCCTATATCATGCAGCCCTACTAGTCAGCATCAGTTTTGAATACTGCAATACTTATCCTTTATCTGCACTACTTTAAAATATATATATTTTTTAATATTGTGTAATACTCTCGTAGTATCGGTAAAATGTGCAGTATAAGGGCTATTCTATTACAAATTACTATTATGTCGCTTTGCACAACGTTGACGATGATTGGAAGTTGCGCCAGAGATGCCTTGAGATGGCATATTTTCTATTACATCAAAATTATTATTTAAATTAAAATATTTGTTTAATATGCAAGAAATGCACCGTTTAAAATATTATTTATAGGATATGCAAGTGTTATTTTATTTAGAAGAGATATCGCTTATTTTTTTACTTTTAATATGAAAACACTAAAAAAAAAATTATTTTGTTTCCAAAAGAGCACTTCAAGTTATTTCTTTTTTACTTTTTAAAAGAAAAAAGTGACTGTTTATTTTAGGCAGTGTGTGTTTAATTTCAGATATTCAACATATATGTTCAATAAATATAGATAGATGGCAGATGGTGTGTGTTTCCTTTTATTATTTTAAAATCAAATAGTGCTCCCTTCATTCAAAAATCTCTCACTTGTAATATGTGAGCACATTTACTGTACAAAATCTGTCAGTGAATTATGAAGGCAAATAAATAAATAAAAGAATCGTTCATTAATCGTAATCGAGTTAAAATGTTTAATTAATCAAATTTTAATCTTAGACCAAATCGCCCATTCCTATGCAGTATACGAGAAATCATGCTGCCTTTGGCTAAATATAATTATTATTATGGTGTATAATAAATCAAAAATTGGAAACTGTGAAAGTTATAGTTTACATGGAGTACAAATTTGAAACTGTGAAGTTAAAAATTAATTGTGACAATGCAAAATAGGCGAAAAAACAGTTCACCTAAAAATTAAAAATTTGTTAATGTTCTCATCATAAGACCTTCCAAACTTTTGGTGACCTATTATTTTTTAAAGATTTGTTTTCAGCTAAAACTGTGGTCTTTGGTGATTTCACAAAATTAATGTTGTTAATGGATACTCACAAAAAAACAAGCAAAAACTAAATTAAAACAGAATTATTGTCTCCTGGTGATGAGGTAGGGCTGCATAATATTGGAAAGATCTGATATTGAGATACTTTATTTATCTGCAACAAATACTGCGTTAAGAATACAGTTTCACAAGATGGTTTGACTTTGAATGTCACTATATGAT